TATGGATTTGGAAAGGGGATTTCCAGGCCGGATGTTCAGATACTGGGAACGAACATCATCTTTATGCACGACAATAAACTAAAACTTGAGCGAAAGTGTCAAAAAATAATAACAGAACAGAACCAACACATTTAGCTGCTCTGGTTTTAGTGGTGTTCCTATAAAACTATTTCTATTGCTCTACCAAACACACAGATTCTGTCAGCAGCTGGGTTCTTATCATGATCCTATGATATCAATATGATATTAAAATGAATGAAAACATTATCATACAAATGAAGCTGTTAAAAACTTGACACGTCCAGAACGAATAGGTCATTTTTAGTGGTGTTTGATTAGCCAAGCAGCACGAGTACTGTGCTCATCTGAGGTTTATTCAACTCAACCATAAATCATCTGAAAATCATGGCTGGGTTCTTTTGACACCCTAATAAACTACTTAGCAAGATTTTATCAACCATTCGGACCTTATCAACAGTGTAGCAACGTATGTATATGCGTGTCTGCACTACTTTCTGTTCTGGAAGCTCCTGACACTACGACAAATTCCTTGTGTGTGTAAACACATGGCAATAAAGCTCTTTCTTATTCTGATTCTGATTCAATGCACTAAAAGCCGCAGAAAACCCTTATAACCGCATAGCAAACCTTTGCAACCACCCACAACACTAGCATTGAGTCGAGCAGGTTTTGCACAGGAAAGCAGCATTCATGTTTTCTTGCTCTGAATACAGATATAACATTTGTTTTTTTACTGAAATGAAAATCAATCTGAACGGACACTGCCGACTGCTAATAGAGGAAAAGCATCATTAATGTCACTCAGTTTACTGGGAATAGTTGCCATGACGATGGCTAAACAATTAGACTGTCCACTGTGAAGCAGGTTCATGGCTTCTGTTAACAGCAGACACATGTGCAATGAAACAGCTCCATGTGTGCAATAAAATAAAACAATAAATTAAATTAAATAGAATAAAACATAAAATACAATTAAATAAAAACACTTAATAATAGAATAAAATCAAAATAAATAAATACATTTCATTTTAAATTAAATAGAATAAAATAAAACAAAACAAAACAAAACAGAATAAAAAATAACAGTACAGTAAAAAATAAAATAAAAAATAGAATAAAACTGTAAATTAAAGGGGAAAAAAATGAAATAAAATAGAATAAAAAATAAAATACAATTAAATAAAAACACTTAATAATATAATAAAATAAAAATAAATAAATACATTTCATTTGAAATTAAATAGAATAAAATAAAATAAATCAAAACAAAGAATAAAAAATAACAGTACAGTAAAAAATAAAAATAAAAATAGAATAGAATAAAACAGTAAATTAAAGAAAAAATCTAATGGAGTAAAAATGAAATGAAATAAACCAAAACATAAAATACAATTAAATAAAAACACTTAATAATAGAATAAAATAAAAACAAATACAATTTAAAATAAAATAGAATGAAATAAAACAAAGAATAAAAAATAACAGTACAGTAAAAAAATAAAATAAAAAATAGAGTAGAATAAAACAGTAAATTAAAGAAAAAAATTAAATGGAGTAAAAATTAAATGAAATAAAATAAAACATAAAATACAATTAAATAAAAACACTTAATAATACAATAAAATAAAAACAAATAAAATTTCAAATAAAATAGAATGAAATAAAACAAAGAATAAAAAATAACAGTACAGTAAAAAATAAAATAAAAAATAGAATAGAATAAAATAAAACAGAAAATTTAATAAAAATAAAATTGAGTAAAAATGAAATGAAATAAAATAAAACAAAATACAATTAAATAAAAACACTTAATAGAATAAAATAAATATATACATTTAATTTAAAATAGAATAAAATAAAACAAACAAAGAATAAAAAATAACAGTACAGTAAAAAATAAAATGGAAATAGAATAGAATAAAACAGAAAAAATAAATAAATAAAATAAATTAGAATAAAACGTAACAAAATTTAATTAAAGAAATCAAATAGAACAGCGTAAAAATAAAATGAAAAATAGAATAAAATAAAATATAAAATTAAACAAATTAGAATAAAATAAAACAAAATATTAAAGAAAAAATAAAATAGAACAGTAAAAAAATAAAATGAAAAAAATATTATTTTTTAGTATTCCATTTCAAACACTAGGTCTTCAATCTATCAAGCAGAACCTTTCAGATAAATGACTAATAAACTGTAATCAAAACCTGCACCACAGATGACCTGAATGAGTAACTTGTTCATAAGTTTGATTTAAACATTGGACACATTTGAGCTTCATTAAGCTAATAAATGACACGTAGTTATTTAGTCTTTAAATATCACTCCTCTGACCTTCGCTTCCAGCTGTTGCATATGTAAAATGTTTCAGTTCTAGCACTGAAACATTTCTACATTATATGACAGAAAAAATCTCTCCCAATATCATCCCAACCAAAGGTAATCACACTAAATAACTAGTTTATTATCCTTTCTTTATATTTACGTGATTACTGTGTGGTGGTAAACTGCTGAGTTAGTTGCTGCAGGAATCAGCTGTGATCAGATGCACTCAGTCGGTGGGAGCCGTAATCTGGAAGTTCACAGTGAGTTTAGTCCAACCTGTGTGAGACTCATACGCAGCCTTTCTTTATTCCACTGGTTGCCATGGAGATGGCATTGCTCAAGTGGACTGAAACTACGCCATCTCACCTTCCAATCAACCTGACGACAGTTCTTTCACATATGTAAAGCAGCTACTATTTCAGACCCACTGCACCATATAAACACCATTATTTCAAAGGCATAATGAAAAAAAAAGACAGGAAATACAGCTGTCCTTATACAAGGTGTTTTTTTTCTTCAGGAGTCGCTTCCTGTTTCGTACAAGCATTGAAAAGCATTTTAAGGTGCTGTCATCTGCATGTCATCCTTGAGTTCGGAGACATTACAAATGCAACAAATGCTGTACAAACCACAGATGATGGCATCCAGAAGTACAGTTTAATGGTGCAGTGTCCCTGTGAAACTCAAGATCTCTACAGTAAAGTAATACTTAAAAAAACAAAACAAACATTAATGATGCATTACAAGCAGCAAAATTAATTAATGGATTAAGTTTGCATTGGTTTTGCACTAAGAAAATGAAGCACATTTGCATTGTTGTATCGAAATATCTATCTATCGTAAAGTAAAACAAAGACATACATTACAGTAATCAGAATTTAAATAATTGTAAATAAGTGTGCTTAAATGCCATGAAGTATAAGTATATATATATATATATATATATATATATATATATGTTTCATACATCATCTTTCCATGTACATTACAAAAGCTTGAAGAATTGAAGCAAATAGCATGGAGTCGTTTTCTGATTTTTCTCTCTGGGAAATCAGCTGGGCAGGATTTCCAAAGGCCAATTTAAGTGCATAGGTGGAGCTTCTCTACCTGCTCCCAGTAGAGTTGAGCAGCTCAGCAGAATGTCGCTGACAGGGTAAAAGTCACAGCTACTCAAAAGCAATCGTCATATCCTCCATGGTAACAGCGTGCGAGCTGCTCATGACAACTTGTTCAAACCCTTGTTGTCACAGAGGAAATGCAATTATTACTTGGACAGTCAGTACTGATATTGTCTCACTGACAGACACAGAGCTGGGGCTTTGATTTCAACACCTGCAACGTGATTAGAGTTCAGATGAAATGGCATTTGCAAGCATTTTGCTTCTGTAACCTGACATTTCTAGTGAAACTAGACATTCAACGAGAAAAGGAGCCCAACACACAAGCATCAGCTGAAAAGGACAGTCATTTGAAAAGCAAAGCATTGCATTGAAATTATCTATGAAATGTGCGTTAACTCTGTACAAAAAATATTTTTCAAAGTAGTATTTCAAACTACTTCAAAATGTTATGTTTAATTTAATGTCTTGCTTGCTATTTCTTTGTAATCAATTGTGAAATTTACTAGCAATTTCATTGGTGAAAATTGTTTCTTTGCCAACAGTCAAGAATTGTACACAATAACACTAGAAATGTGCATCGACACAGCAAAAAGTGTTTATGTGTTTATGCTGACTTTAACACATGCAAATTTGAAAAATAATTATGAAAAGGTCTCATTCACAGTTGAGAACCATGGAAGCTGTACGGATGTCTGGAAATGATTGTTTTCAAAATGTTTGTCTTTAATTCACAAGGTCCGTTTTAGAGACAAAAATAAAAAATAGTTTGCAAAAACAAATAAATTACAAATGGTTCGGCAAAAGAAACTTCTAGAAAATGCGAGGAGACTTCCTTATAATGCATCTCTCAGATGTAGGACGAAGCTAACTGAATACAGTACCTATACCTTCTTTACATAAGTGCCTACCGTCTCTCCAATTGACTTAAAATGTATTCAAAAACACTTTATAAACCCTAATCAGAGGCATGATGTTCTGCAGGCGTGTGTCAGCGCTCTGAGAAAGTAACACCAAGCACAGCAAACACAATGGCCTTTAGAAAGATGCTGTTCCTAAAGAAAGTGTGAGGAAGGCAAAGCTTTGCGCTCATGCTGAAAAAGACAGGCAGCACAAAGAATGTTGTCTGGCAGTAATGGCAAACAATAAAGCCAAGGTCTCTGCTTCGGTTTATTGAATTTAGCTTTTCAAAAAATAAATAGCTTGAGAGAGAGAGCTGTAATTCTACAAAAAAAGGAGGTTGCTGCTGAGCAGGACTGCATAAAGAAACACAGAGAGTGGGAAAGTGCATTTGGCTCCATTTCATTATTTTGCAACCAATCAAGCATATAATAACGAGACGAACACAATAAGATAATTCAAAGCTACTCGTGACTTCCATTCTGTAGATGTAATGTGTGTAATTTTCCATAAGAAGAGGTTTTCAAATGGACTGTCTTCCATACATCCATTGTGACAAAGACCATGCAATACCTAACCTTGTTCCCCTCTTCACAGGCTTTGTCATGGCAACATACGTGATCCCCATCAGGTGCGAGTCACAGTAAAAGAGGTGAAGATGGAAGGTCCGCATGTTGTCAACACTGATGGCAACTCCTTGCTTAAGGCCGTCTACCTAAGTCGTCTCCGTCTCACACGGCTACTTCTGGAAGGCGGCGCTTATATTAATGAGAGTAATGAGTGCGGCGAAACACCCTTGATGGTCGCCTGCAGGAGCAGGCATATGGACCACCAAAGTGTCTCGAAGGCTAAGATGGTTGGGTACCTGCTTGAAAGTGGTGCTGATCCGAACATCCAGGACAAGAGCGGGAAGACGGCTCTAATGCATGCCTGTTTGAAGCAAGCCGGTCCTGAGGTAGTGGCGCTGCTCTTGGGTAGCGGGGCGGATCCGTGTCTTGAGGACCACACCGGTTCTTCGGCTCTGATATACGCCATCAATGCCTGCGATGAAGAAACTCTTAAAATCTTGATGGATGCCTGCAAAGCCAGAGGAAAAGAGGTCATCATCATCACCCCTGACAAACTGGCATGCGGAAGGCAAGTGGCGAAACAGCACCTACCTATTCCTCCGCTTGCAATGGTGGAACAATGGGACAAGCTGAGTTCCAACATCATTCCCTGTGCTTCTCCATCTGATATTCTCCTCAGTACATCTCCACAGGGGACTCTTTCTTCTAGTCCTACAGAGCACATGTTTTCCTTCCAGGACCTCCGAAGCATGACTAATTCCCAGCCAACTTCTCCATCCCACCAGGTTTCCCTGGTAAACAGTCGGTTGAGCAAAATCCACAATCTCCAGAGATTACACTCCGAGCCATGGCTGAAGATTCCACAGTCTTTCTTGGTCCAACAGCACGTCAAAAGCACCTCCGCTACGGAGGAACTCCCAGACATCACGCCTGAAGAGGAAATGACTTTCAGAATGAACAGATTGGCTTTTGGCAACACGCCACTATCACGGCATTGCAGTGTTGATTTGAAAGAAACCAACTCCTTGAGTCAAACTCTAAGTCAAGGAAGAAACGGTGAAGGTTTAAGACCGGAAGGAGCACTGTGCCGAAACATGTCCTTTGATAGCTTATCATCCCTGCACTCTTTATCCCATCCCAATCTTCATTGCAAAAGCAGCGCTGAAGCTTTACCGGCTGAAAAGTACCCGGACAAATCCCTGCCAAATTTGGCCGTGTCCAGTCTCCGCAACATCATCCAGAGAAGGAAACTAGGAATGGACCACTACAGCTCCGATTCCCAACTATCAGTGAGCCTCGCCAACTCTCCAGAAGACCGTAAAGGACAGCTGGAGAAGAGAAAACTTGCTAACTCGCGTTCTCCTACCTTGGTGGGCTCCAGGGAATCTCTTGAGAGCGTTTCATTGACGCAGTTGCACAGGAGGAATCCCATCGGCTACGAGCGTCGGGGCTCCGGGCCACTTTTGGATCCCATCTCCCATCCTCGAGCTGGTTTCCTCCCTCCGCTGAACCAGCATACACCAATTCCAAATATCACTGGAAGTGGCAATCCAAGCAGCATCAGCTCCTGCAACAAAGCAGTTTGTGGCGTAGCAGCAGGGACAAAGCCCTGCATTCCCTCGGCTCCTGCAGGTTTTCCAAAGGATCTCAAGACCAGGAGGATGCTGATGAGAAGACACTCCATGCAAACCGAGCAGCTCAAGCGACATGGTGACTTCACAGAAATTTTTGGACACTGAATGGTTGCTATAATAAACATTTTGACCATAACAAAGGCATCAATTTGCACTGACACCAAATGATTGCTGGTCACTGAAATGGAACAAATAACATCTATACTCTTCAATCTAATCCAAAACATTTTTAACCATGCATCCTTAAGGTGAGGTCACATTTACTACTGCTTTTTGAAATTTCATGGACGAAATCCAGTCATTCCCATAGGAATCGGCATGTGAGTTTCACGTGAAGAACCCATGCAGATTTCACACATTCAAGTAGGTTATGTAAATCTGCTTGGTTTGAAAGTGACTTCTGTGATAGCAGTGCTTCATACATCTCTGCACTACTGACAATGGTCCTTTTTTTTACCTGTGAAATTTCACTGATGTGACCGCACCTTTATAGTCAAATAAGACTTAATAGAAACAATTGGTTATGAATGTGGCTAGAGCTTCAATAGCCAAGAAAACAGGATACAAAAATATTAAAATGACTTGTAGGTTCAAAATACACCATTCAACTGCTGGCATTACTAGCATAGACATTCAGCTTGCCAACATACAAATTCATTCGTAATACATTTGAGTCATTGTGTATGGAACATACTGTACCTTTGCTTGTGTGTTGTGTTTGATGTTCACAATGTCTTTTAAAACATAAAAAATTACAACATAACTCTATAATGTGAGCAGTAAATTTGCAGCAAATCACCCATTTAGAAAATCTCACTTCATCTAAATGACAAAACAAAAGGCTGTTATAAACATGTCATAAATGAGCATGAGACGATGAATATGTATATTTATCCAAATTTTATTCTACATGAGATACATATTAGAAATGAATGTTGTTTTGAAGAACATCCTTAGGTCCCATACCAGAAAATTCATCTAATAAATCTGGTTTTCAAGAATAAATAGATATACATTATGCAACCGGGTACATCTTAACAGCTTTTTGTAAAGCATAAAAATGCTTTAATTGTGATGATTTAATTAATCAGTAACAGTGAGAAAATAATTTAACTCCCAAAATACTCCACAAAGCCGAAATATATGGGAGAAGATCTGAGATGTCTATAAAATGCTCAACTAATTTCACACATTTAATCTCAATCCTTCTACAACAATCATCTTTATCTTAAGAACATTTGTATTTGGTTTGTGACAGAATTATAGAGGCCTTCAGATTATTTAAATATACCAGTCAATATATCAAAAATGATTAATCACTGTTTAGGTTGTGTTTTATCACTATGAAGAAAAAATTAATAAAAAATAAGCAACAATCACTCGTCCTGTATTTCATTTCACCAGCGACAGTAAAAGTGCATTTTGCAAATTAATGAATTTAGATTTTTGTTAAGATGCAGCATTTAAAAATGAATGATTTAATGGCGTCAATATAATCAGAATTCATTTGAGGGGGAAAAAAGTCTTTGTTTTGCAGGTTTAAGGTACATTTTAAGCTGAACAAATATATGGGAGAAGATCTGAGATGTCTATAAAATGCTCAACTAATTTCACAGATTTAATCTCAATCCTTCTACAACAATCATCTTTATCTTAAGAACATTTGTATTTGGTTTGTGACAGAATTATAGAGGCCTTCAGATTATTTAAATATACCAGTCAATATATCAAAAATGATTAATCACTGTTTAGGTTGTGTTTTATCACTATGAAGAAAAAATTAATAAAAAATAAGCAACAATCACTCGTCCTGTATTTCATTTCACCAGCGACAGTAAAAGTGCATTTTGCAAATTAATGAATTTAGATTTTTGTTAAGATGGAGCATTTAAAAATGAATGATTTAATGGCGTCAATATAATCAGAATTCATTTGAGGGGGAAAAAAGTCTTTGTTTTGCAGGTTTAAGGTACATTTTAAGCTGAATGTAAAAATGTAGGATCACAGTCAAGTCTAGTAAAAGAAATAAAGGTTATTGCATTTATAAAATGGCTACTTAATTCAGAAACACCATCCAGCATATTTTATAAGGAAAGAGTTTTCAAAAGTTTCTTCAATCTGTCAAACCCATTAAACGTTACAGATATTCAATGTCTGTAGTATATTAAGGACATTTGGCAGCCTTGTTAACTTTCATCATGGTGGGTTGATCAAATTAAAAAAATTAAAAAAACATGTAAAAGTGTTCAGAAGTGTTGATATTTTTTCAGGCCAACATTCAAAGCTCTAAGGATTGTTCAATTCCTGGCTGGCCACACCAACAACACATTTGTAGTGTTAACAGATGGGGCTGTTTTTCAGTTTGTCCAGTAAAAATAAACTAATAGTAAAAGAAAGGCATTTAAAGATCTCAATAAATGACCTTTTCTTTAATTAATGCAGTAGTGTGAAAATAATTACATAAATGTTAAAGCAAATCTTTTCATAAGATGATCCCATCCTTTTTCTTTACTCTGAACTCCTTTTTTGGTAAATATATGTGATCTGAAACAATGTTTTCATAAGCATTTCATAAGCTTTTTTGGGGTTATAATTGCAGAATGAGTTTTAATTTGTAATTTCAATGCCCTATCAAAAATATCACCTTTAATCAACACATGAGCTGTCTGTTCCAAAAATAGTATTTAAGCTTAATAAAAGTTTAATTGCATTAGCAGATGATTTCATCTATATGTTTTAAGCAATCAAACCGAGGTGTATTTTACAGATTGAGAAAAATGACTAACCATAAGATGCAGTACTTAGAAAGTACAATAATCAGTACATATAACCTTCATGTGGATTCTTAAATCCACATGAAGCTACAAATTATGATGGATGGGAAAAAAACATTGCAGATTCCAGCTCAGAAAAAACAGACATAAAGAAATGCAGCACTTCATATGCACGGTTGCCATGTGTGCAATCGAGTAACGATTATAATTATCGGTATATCTGACATCATAGTCATACATAAACAATTCTGTTTGCATTCAAACCAACATTCATCGACCGGCATCCATTGAACAGACAATGGAAACACGAAGAAGCACAGCAAAGTTCTCACGTTTTTATTTTTGTTGCTGACCTCTGCTTTATTCTAAAGGATCGCTAATATAGTTCCACTTCAGTGAAGTTCCTCTAAAATGCATCAAACTCTCCATACCTTGTCAGAGATCAGATACGAAGTCTGTCTCTACGTATCTGCGATTCATTGCTACCAGTCGTGAAGGTCCCAATGGCTGCCTGTGGATGCAAAGTTTGTAAGTCACCAGCTTTCAAATGCTCAGTGAGATGTAGAAGAAAAACTCCATGTCCATGTCCTGATGGGGGACACAGGAGCTTCCTCCGTGGATGACGGGAATTAGAGCCCCGTCCAGATCATTCATATACTTCTGAGGCAGGAGGTGGCCACCAGAGCCAGCCTGGTACTCAACCTACAACAATGAGAGGGTTACAAATGCATTTTATGCATTTAATCAGCATTACAGTGCAGGGTTTCCCATACATTGATTTATTTGTGGCGGCCCGCCACAATATCAACACTGACCGGCCGCCACAAATAGATTTTCCAAAAGGCTTTGACGTCATTGAATAAACATGAGCACTGCACGTTTCAAAATCAAAACGCGGCACGGGTGTTTTTATATGAATGTATCTTTTTTGAAGGGAAGCGATTGTCTTAAGAAAAGTATATGTCATTTTCATTTCATCTTTCCTATAATGCCTGACAATGTAGCGTTCATGAGCGCAGCGCTGCTTTGATTACAGCCGTTACCGGGGAAACCGCTATTTCTGCCGTTCATAAAGCGCCTCCTGCTGGTAGAGAATGAATTTGCACTTTCAATAAGCCCGTCTGCTGTTTTAGATTTACATTATATACATATATATTTTCCCCAGGGGAAGTGCCGCCACACATAGAGTGTAAGTCTGTGGAAAACACTGCAGTGACTTGGGAGCTGCTAACAAAAGAAAAAGTGATGCCAGTGAATATTTTTCCCAAAAAGCAGCAGTGTAAATCGTTTTATGTTACCTTGTACAGACGCAAACTTAAAAACGTACAACTGTGTGATTCAAGTGCTTTCAAGATTTTTCTGACAAATATTGTGATTGCGATTGTAAATGTGATTAAAAAAGGCTTCAGGTTTGTTGCGCTTGTTTAAAGGGCAGCATAATTTCGTGATTATATATGAATATGACTATAACAACAATTTATATGATTTTTAAAAAATTATTATTACTAAATCAAAACATAAAACAAAATAAGAAATATTACTGAAATATTTCACTGCAAAATAAAAGTATTTAAGATCAATTTATAATTCTAAAAAATATTACACAAACTAATATTACACACACATGCAATTGTACAATAGTAATGTTAAAAATTATGTATTTTTACAATACCTAATATTAGTAAGATCAGCGAGATTTCTGTTTTTTAAAGAAGTATCTTGTTGCTTCAGTTTTGCTGCTTAATATTTTTTTGCAACCTGAGATACTTTTTTCAGGATTCTTTGATGAAAAAAAAGTTAAAAAGAACAGCATTTATTCAAAACAGAAATCTTTTGTACCAATATAAGGCTTTACAATCACTTTTTAGCAATTTAACATATCCTTGCTCAACAAAAATATTAACTTCTTTCAAAAAAAGAAAGAAAAAAAGCATGTACTGACCCCAACGTGTCTGCTGTTAAAAAAGATTTATATTTTGAATAAATGCTGTTATTTTTAACTTTTTATTTAAAGAATCCTGAAAAAAAATATTATTAATAATAATTTAATAAATATTATTATTACAAAGATTAAAATAATATATATATTATGTAGCACAACTGTTAATAATTAACATTAACAGGAATAAATTACATTTTAAAGTATATTAAAATAGAAAACTCTTCTTTTAAATTGTAATATTTCACAATATTACCGTTTTTTTTCTGTAGTTTTGATCAAATAAATGCAGCCTTGATGAGCAGAAGAAACTTCTTTAAAAAATATAAAAAATCTTACTGATCCCAAGCTTTTGAACGGTAGTGTATAGTAAAATTGCAATACTAATATTTATGGCTAGTGCTAATTTATTCATTTTCAAAAGTTGCTCGAATGTTTATCTTAGCGGAAAACCACAAGAGCCCTTAAATCTTTTTTTTTTGTTGTTGTTGACAACCGTGCAATTTTGATCTTACATTGGAAGATAGGTAGGTCTTAGCCCAGCAAGATATTTCTTAGAGTTTTTTAGCCAACACTCCTGTGCCCACAATAATTTACCATGTCTGAGTCGGTGGAGACCCGGAGTGCGAGAGAGTTGAATCCATTCGCCAAGAGCACAGAGAGGTGAGGGCAGAGGGCGGCGCAGCTGGCGGTGGCGATCTCTCTCTGAAACTGAGCCGATGACGTGAGGATAGCAGACAGTGAGACGTCTGAAGACTTCAGCAGATAGAAGACCTGATGGGAGAGATAGGACATGAAGCAGAGAAGACACCAATAAAATTCCTCCTTTTGCAGGCATCATGCTGTACACACCTCAGTACACCTGATGGTTTGGCCGTCCATCTCAAACTCTGAGTCCTGTTGAATCTTGACGCTTGACACTCCCTCTAGAGACCTGCCATCCACCGGACTGATGACTCTGCAAACATGTTACACGTTATACTGTCTTAGGGGAATTATGTTTGACCTGACACAGCATCTTAACAGTCAAAGGAAGCTGAAAGAATGAATATTAAATAGTGCCTAATTAATGCAGCTAACATTTTCAAGGTCACTTGCAACATCGGCCAAATAGATCAATAGTGCTTTATCATTCAGTAAAGTGGTTATTCAGTACAGTATTGGCGTAAGAACCTGCATAAGAAAGCATCTGATGAGAATGTACACTACTGGCCAAAAGTTAGGAATAATTAAGATTTAAAAAAAAAAGTATCTTCTGCTCACAAAGGCTGCATATATTTGATAAAAATACAGTAAAAATAGTGAAATATTATTACAATTTAAAAGAACAGTTTTCTAATTGCGTATTTTAAATAGTAATTCCTGTGATTTATTCCCGTGTTTTCAACATTGATAATAACAATGTTAACCAGCAAATCAGCATATTAGAATGATTTCTGAAGGATCATGTGACACTGAAGACTGGAGTAATGGATGCTGAAAATACAGCTTTGCATCACAGGAATTAATTTTAAAATATATTCAAATAGGAAACAGTTATTTTCAAATTGTAAACATATTACTGTTTATACTGTGTTTGATCAAATAAATGCATCCTTAAGTGAGCAGAAGAGTTTTCTTTCAAAAACAATTAGAAAATCTTAATTATTCCAAACTTTTGATAGTGTAAATGTATCTGATAAATTGCTGGTACCCAGAGTTGACGGGTGCAGTCCAGTCGACCCAGCGTACATTCACATTTTCCCGTGTCTCATCCGAATCTGCCTTCCCACAGGGGATCTGAAAGTCGGTTTGGTCCCTGAGGGCCTGTCGTAAACCTTCCATGGTCTCCGGAGGGATTTGCACCATTAACCCGTCTAAAGATGAAGAAGGACAGTTTGACGATAAAACTTTTTGAGAGTAATGACCTTAGGAAGTGTTTGAAAATGATTTGTGTGTCAGCTTTACCCTCCACAATGCTGGATTTGGCAATGAATCCTGATGAGGCTTTCAGAGCACCGTTAAAAACCACAAAACTAGCTCCAGTCACTGCAAAAGAAAGACAGGGTCCGGTGAGACATCCACTTATCATATTACATAACAAATATTATACAACAAACAACTTGAGTGATTTCACACTAAAACCTTTGGTGCTAACCAAAGTACATTTGAAAGTTTGGCTTTCCTAAAGATTTTGATCAAATTAAACTAGTTTTGCGATCCTTTCTTGTCTCGCAACTTGCAAGTACCACAGCATAAATACAAAGATGTTTTAATATCACCTCAGATATAAAATGTTAGTACTGGTAAGATTAAATAATCATCAAAATATTTTTATGCATATAAATGAAAACTATTAAATATAATTTTTTCTTTGTGTTAATTCAGTCAAAAACAGTAAGAAAACATGCCTTGATTATTTTTCACGAATATACGTAGGCAAAATAATGTGTTTTATGTAATATTATTTTTGTGTATATACTGTAAATAAAAACGATTAAATGTAATTTTTTTCCTTTGTGTTAATTCAGTCAAAAACAGTAAGAAAACACGCTTTGATTATTTTAAATAAATATATGTAGTTGAAATAATCTGTTTTATGTCATGTTATTTTGGTGCAAAAAAATGATTAAACACATTTTCTTTATGTAAATTAAATTAAAAAACACTTTTCACTTGATTTTTCGATTTTGCATTATTAATATTTTCAATCTACTTGACTACAATGGCTTGAAATTATTTAAACGTTGGTCCCTCTGATTGAAAAAGAAAACTGTTTTAAGACATTCAAGAGAATACACAAAGTTATTTAAGATTTTTAGCTATATCGCCCAGCTCTCATAGAAGTGACTAACAAACCTCTCCTGGTTTTTCCTGGTATACTGTTGGCTTGCGTCTGGTAGCTTCCGTCCTCGTTCTGCATGCAAACCAAGTGAGAATCGGCCTCAGTGCTGAAACAGGCGCCAAAACTGATCACGTGTTCATTGGAGGAGTTCACCACCTTCAGCATCTACAACAGCCAGAACACCACAACACATTCAACAACACAATAACAATGATGCCTGACTGCTGCACAATTCAAATATAACTCTGACCTCATTAAACCTGGACTTAGGAATGTCGATGTAGCTGTTGCCCATCTCCATGTGCACTCGCAGACTTTCCACCACAGGTAAACTGTACTGGTAGTTCCTCAGATCCTGTGTCAGAATCAACAAAACACAAGAATGTAGGTGGATCCAAAGATTTGGGGTTACAAGGCCTAAAGTTAAAGGGATAGTTCACCCAAAAATCTAAATTTGCTGAAAATGTCCTCACCCTCAGGCCATCCAAGATGTAGATGACTTTGTTTCTTTAAGAGAACAGATATGGGCATCTTCTGAAACCAAAAGAGGCATGTTTGTAAGAAACAAACACGCAGGTTTTCTCTTCACAAGACATTAACTGATGGACTGGAGAGGTGTGGATTACTT